ACTGGTTTGAATCAAACTGTTTTCTATACTATTTTCAAACAAACCAATTGGTTTGCCTACTTGCCAATTAAGCGTTGCCAAGAGCATTTTAGAGAAAACACAAAAGCGAGACCAAGCAGGGATGCGGTGCTCACCATTTTAAACTAAGGCAATAAATAGATTGGTCCTAGACTTTTATATATTACTTAAATTTTGGTTTAGCTTTTCACGATCTAAATTCTAACATCATGTTATATTCAAATTTATTTTCAGTTTTCAATTTAAAATTAATTGGTGATAAATATATTAATTCTAATCTTTTATATATATTATATTCATGTTATAGTGAAACTCCAGATGTCAAAACATTATATTCTCACATGAGCACATCAACCAAACAACGGAACGTATGATCTAAGCCAAAAAATGATATGATCAGTGTATTGTTTGAGTGAGACCAATAATACATCAATACATATCTCAGTTTGGGCTTTGTAGATGAAGACTGTTGTAACCAGCTCATTTTTATAAACCATTGCAAGAATACACAGACATGTATCTTATTTGTGTAAAGCTTATACTCTGTCTGCAGTCACAGGATCTTCTAAAACTTTGTGATCATTGAGTCATTATCTCAGAGTGAGAACGGCTTTTGCTTGGAGAAAAGAAAAGACCCTCTTTGTGTTGAAGCTTGCAAATGTAACTTCTCGAGAAATCTTTTCACTTCCTGAAGCTCATCTCTTGTGCTGTCTCCATGGAACAATTGTTGTGTCAATAAGTCATGTGTGGTGCAGATCATTATTTTATCTTATTCCCTTTATATTAACCTTTAGGTGATTTGAGTCAGTATTCGAAGATCCTTTCACAAGCTTTTAAGTCATTTTCTTTTACCAAAAAAAAAAGAAGGATATCACTCAACCACCACAACTTGGAATTAAGGCAAACAAAAACAATAGAAAGCCAAATTTGATGAATAACATACAGCAGATAATGTCGCAAATTATATTTTAAAACATGAGATGGACTAGGAACGTTTTATCATGAAGTTGAATAAATATTTTTTTTTGTGGTTCTTCCCTTTTTTTGTCAACTCCTCGTGGTTCATCCTTTCGTCTTTGTGATGAACCTTGGTTTTGCGTTGATGCACTTGCTTGTCCGGGTAGTTGTGTTTCTCCGGTTCGTGGTGGCATCCATGTACTTGTTTCTCCGGTTCGTGGTGGCATCCATGTACTTGTTTGCCCGGTTCGTGGTGGCATCCATGTACTTGTTTCTCCGGTTAGTTGTGTGGATAGGGTGCTCAACATACTTCCTGGGAACATTCCTGTCCATGTAGTTCCTCCTGCGTATCAGATGGCAATCTTATGGTTAAATAACAAAAAAATAATAAAAGCACTAAAAATGAGGAGAAGTCTTTAGTTTAGAAAATGAAATGAAGTTCTAGCTCAAACTGATCAACACTTCTAAATAAAAAATCGAAAAGAAGGAAAGGACATCATTATCGGTGGTCCTTTAGCGTTGTTCCTTAGCGGGAAAGTCCCTTAGCTTTTAACTAAAAATGCTAAGGGACATCCGGCAAGTCCCTTAAATAGAAAATGAAATGAAATTCTAGCTCAATCACCTGGGTGTTTTTTCATCTTCTCCTGCCAGAGATTTAGGTTTTCCTCTTTTTTCTTAATTGCTAAATTTTTTTCCCTCATCTCCTCCTTCTCCTTCTCCAGCCTGATCTTCCTTCGTTTCAGCTCTTCTTCCTGTTTCCTCTTCCTTTCCTCCCTGGCCTTCTTGTGTTTCATCTCTTCAGCTTGTTTCCTCTTCCTCTCTTCCTCCTCCCTGGCCTTCTTTTGTTTCATCTCTTCAGCTTGTTTCCTCTTCCTCTCTTCCTCCTCCCTGGCCTTCTTTTGTTTCATCTTCCTCTCTTCCTCCTCCCTGGCCTTCTTTTGTTTCATCTCTTCAGCTTGTTTCCTCCTCCTTTCCTCCTCCTCCCTGACCTTCTTTTGTTTCTCCACTTCAAAGAGACCTAGTTTCTGCCCTTCACGAAGTTGTAGCCAATTTTCTTTTTTTCCTACTATCAGATTACGTTCTAGCTTTGCCTTAGCCTCGTTTTCCCTTTTTTTTGCCCAATAATAATCCAAACCGAAACCTATTGCCTTACCAGCAGCTTCAAGACCCTTATCTTTGGCCTTACCAGCAGCTTCAAGACCTATATCTTTGGCCTTACCAGCAACTTCAAGACCTATATCTTTGGCCTGTATAGCAACATCCCCCAAAAACTCCAGTGCTTGCACTCCTTTCCCATTTGAGCTACTGGCAACATCATTGTGACGCTTTAATGCTTCTTGTGTGTTACTACTAAGTACTCTGCCTTCATTTTTCTGCTGGATTTTGACTTCTGACTCCGTTACATCATATGCTTCAATCTTGATTGACTCAACAGATTCATCTATTTTCTTTAGTTCCTTTGTCAATTCAAACGGACTAAATTCTCCCCTCACCTCTAGCTGATCTTCTCCTTCAACCTCTACCACCTCAATAACTCCTAATAATATATATAAAAAAAAACAATTGCTTAGCTGTTTTTTTGAAGAGAAATAAAATTTTATTTAACTAATCAAATTATGCCTAAAACTGAATATTAACTATCATATATTCATACAGTAAAACTTCTATAAATTAATAATGTTAGAACTACATCAAAACTTTATTTTTTTATTAATTTAGAAAGATATTAATTTATCGATATACAAATCGAACCAAAAACTCAATTTGAGACTATAAAATTATATTATTTTATAGAGATATTTAGTGTATATTAATTTATTGAATATTAATTTATAGAGGTTTTATTATAATTAATTTAACATAACCATGAATTAGTGTTTATTTGTGTACCTTGAAACTCGCTGGCAATTTCCGTAGCTAGCTGTTTGTTGCTTTCATCAAAAACTGTGAACTGGAATACAACTATCTTCTGCAATTTAATTTAGAAGCCCATTGTATAAGCATATAACTTGTATCACGTAATAAATATAATTTTAAAGCCATTGAAAATGTAAAATTTCTTAAATTTGTTAAGAGAATTGTAAAAAAAAAAGAAAAACGAACCTTCATTTTTGAAAAGTAAAAAAGATTTGAGTGAAGAGAGATAAGGCAAAGGAGGAATATGATTGCAACCTTGGAGCTTGTTCATAAAATCTCTGCTTTCTCGTTTATTTATACGATTTCTTTGATTTTAATTAGTGAATATAATAACGAGGTGGTCAAGCCATCGGAATAAGAATATGATAGTAGACTGTGGCCGAGTCTCTTATTTTATTGGGTGGTCGAGTCTCTTATTTTATTTGGTTCAACTACTACCGTGTTATATGCAACAATTTTGTATAGGATAGAATCATACAAGAAAGAAACTAACCATGTCCTCGTACTAGGAAATGAAAGAGCCGATTTATTCTAACACCGACTCACAATAAAAGAGGTGGAAGGATAGGTTCTCGATAAAAAAAATATGTTAAATCGATTAGCTGATAGTTAGATTGGCTCTATTTTTTTTTACTCTCTCCGTTTTTTCTATAAGGTGTTTTGATTGATTACATGGAAATTAAGATATTTACCTTTTTAAGTATTTTTAACTAGGTGTTGTGCCCGCATATGCGGGCATAATTTTCTTACGAATATTTATTATTTTATTAATTTTAAAATAATATTATAAGTTATTTTTATAGTTTTAAAAAACCTAAATCAATCATTAAAATAATTTTTATATGAATTTTCATCAAAATCCATATGCTTATTATAGTGTTGAAAAACATCCACATAATAAAATATTTTGAAAATATATTTATATTTTTTCTTAATATTTAATTATAAAATTTTTTATAACTAAATTTTTATTTTTCATAATAAAATTATTATTTCCAGATAATTGTATAATATTCTCTAAGATATCTTATGTTTTAAATATGCATGAATGTAGATAATTATCCTATTAATTTATAATAAATTAACTAATATAATAACATATAAATTTCTATCACTAATATAAAATTCACTTTTAGCTAGTTTATATATAAATATATAAATTTCATTAAAGGTAAGATATATAAGCATTATCATGTTGTTACAATATTATATTTAGATGATAATAACATATATAAGAATTATCTTATTTTTGATTTTTTTATAAACTTATTATATTAATTATTCTAAGTTATCTAAGATAATAACATACTAATCTAATTTTTTAAATTTCGTTTTTAATTATAAAATTAGTTATATATAAAAGTTTCATTAAGGGTATAATCGATATTAACCACTTCAACTTTTAACGTGAGAGCTCCGTTGCGAAAAATCACTTCGCAAATAATAGTATAGATGATAATAACATATATAAGAATTATCTTATTTTGATTTTTTATAAACTTATTATATTAATTATTCTAAGTTATCTAAGATAACAATATACTATTCTAATTTTATTTTTAAATTTCGTTTTTAATAATACAATTAGTTATATATAAAAGTTTCATTAAGGGTATAATCGATATTAACCACTCCAACTTTTAACGTGAGAGCTCCGTTGCGAAAAATCACTTCGCAAATAATAGTATAGATGATATAAATAATACTGAAGTTCAACTAATTATAAAACTGAAAATTTTTATTGGTTGAACAGTTTGTAATAAAATTAAAGTTAACCTTAAAACTTCAAAACATACCTTAAAATCTCAAAATATCTTATATTTTGAAACAATATAAACATTCTTATAAAAAGAAACGGAGGGAGTATATGTTTGTTAATTATTTTTCAAAGAAAATATATGATCATTGTTTTGTTTGAGTGAAACCAATAATAATACATACAATACATGTGTGTATTAGTTTGGCTTTGTAGGTGAAGATTGTTATAACCAACTCAATTTTATAAACCTATGCCAAGAATGCACAAACATGTATCTTATTTTGGTAAAGCCTTACTCTGTAGTGGCTGCAGTCGCAAGATCGTCTAAAACTTTGTGATCATTGAGTCACTATCTCAGAGTGTGAACGGCTTTCAAACGTAACTCCTCGAGAAATCTTTTCACTTTCTGAAGCTCATCTTCTGTGCTGTCTCCATGTTTGTCCCAGTTATTAATCACCAGTTGTTGAAACTCCACTGCAATTCTGTTCATGACATGTTTAACATCAAAGACAAAGATGAAGCCACAACTGTAAAAGGTTTACTTACTTTGGTATAAGTTGAGAAGGTCTCTGGCATGCATCGTTTGGACCATTGATGATGATATCTTTAGCAGCTGCAAACATCTGAGCAGCGTGTTGAGGTCTTTCGAGCTCTATAAATGCAGCCCCAAGATTGTTGTAAACATAACCAACACTAAAGTGTCTCGGACCAAGACTTTCCTTCAACCTCTCGGCTGCACTTTCCAAATAAGCAACCGCCTCAGAGACTCGACCCAAGAACAAAAGCAACCACCCTATCCTTGCGGAAACACTTCCTTTACAGTGTTCAGAGAGTTTCTCTAGAATACACAATGTTTTCTCCAGCAACAGAACCGCTGTTTCAAACTCGTTCATCGACTCATACTGCAACGCTATCTCAGAGTAAGCCTCTACAACTTCTACAGGAGATGTTTTTTCTTTCTTCTCAAGAATATTACAAGAAAACTCCAAACACTTCTTTGAATCAGCAAACTTGTGTTCCTTTACCAACGCCTTGGACATTGATATGAGGACAACAGATCTAATCTCATTGTCCTTCTTATACTGTTTGACAACACCATTAGAGATCTCTTCCTCGTATTTTCCCAAAGCAACCTTCATGTTTGCATCATCTATCTCCCCACGAAGCACCTCCAAGTTCATCTCCAACATCTTCTGATACAATTGCTTCTGCTCGATTGCCTTGTCATGTTCCTTTAACCCCTTGTAGATAACACCAAGAAGTCGTCTATCCAGTGCAACCTCAGCTAAGATGTTCCCCAGCTCTTTTCTATGTATAGCCAACGCCTCCAACGCATATGGCAATGCTGCTTCAAAGTTCAAACCCACAGCAAAAGCATCTGCCACAGTTCTATTTGCAACACCTAACTCTTTGCTGTCTTCCTTCTCTTTGGTCTCCAAACTATTCAAAGAATCCTCAACATCATCCTCTTGCTCTCCCATTCTATTGTCAACACTATCAATCACCATCTTGACGGTTTTTAACATCGCTTTAACCTCACTATCTGCCACCAACTTCTCCAGAATCTGAGTTGCTCTGTTAAGGTACCTTACACTATCACCTAACAGATTCAAGGCATAGCTAGCAGTTCCAATCAATTGCATTGCCATGGCAACAAGCAAAGAAGGCTTATTATCATCTACATTGAATGCTCTAAGAGACTTATGAGCGTAATACAAAACCTTTTCAGGATCCTCGCCTTCACGGTAGAGATGGATACCTATTATCAAAGCAGATAGAGCTACCTCATTGCCTTCCAAGGAAGAAGACTCCATCTCCTTGAGCAAACTTATCCTCTCATCATTGGTCTCTGCCGCCTCGAACGCTTCCTTAAGCTCTTTTTTTGCCTTCCGCACTGATGGTTCCTCGACATGGGTGCACAAGTTTCGAGATGATATCTCTAGGAACTTACTTTTGGTGCAGAAAGTGGAGATTTTTCGATCTGTAGAGACTAGAGAAGAGGAGTAAGAAGAAGAAGAAGTGTCGGAAATAGAGTTTACTCGGAGTAGAAGATGTGGGTTTGGTCTGAATTTGTGGATATAGAAGCGATGAGTTAGAAAAATCAAAACACTTTTCATAGCTTCTAAACACAAGAAAACTAGCTTTTGACTCGTGACTTGAGTTAAGTTCTGGTCTGCTTTGAACTTGACATCCCAAGTTAAATGCAAGGACAAAGATATATTATTAAAAAAAAAGACTAAAAGTTGACCATTCACTAGCGTTGAACTTCAAATGTAAATACAAACTACTTAAACTAATATCTGCACATAGGCTAATCTGAACAGGTCAGTCCATATATGAACATACCTTGCAGCAAAATCTCTTCACTTCTCGTCAGTCTTCACTTAGTTTGTCTCTGCAGCTTTGTAGATGAAGATTGTAATGAACAAACGCCAACTCTTCCAGATGCTGTTTCTCACAACGGCTCATTCCTCTCGTGAGCAACAGCTTCTCTGCTACACTTCTCTTCAGCTTGTACTTTGAAGCACCTTCACATGTCTGACTCAGAATTTTTATAGCGAAACTCTGAAGTTCTGGGTGCTGGTTCGCCTTTTGAGCCCACCACTCAGCTGCAAAGAAAGATTCAAAAAAAAAGACAAAATTCTTTGCTCACTAACTGATTTCAACAACACAAGTGTCTACAACTAAATATGAAAAGCCAAGAGGTTCACACACCTGGAGAGAGTCCAGATATTTCATCAGCTTGACTAGCCTCGTTAAAGCAGTCTTCACGAACTCTGTACATATCAAGCTGAGTGACAACTTTAACTTGAATGTCACGTTCTTTTACTATATGCACAAGAGAGGAGATAAGACCAGTGGCTACTTCTGTATCAAGATGGAAATCAGTTGAGTAGAAAGCAGTTGGGTTCAGGAAGTAGCCAGCAGCATGTAGAGGACTGTGAAGATTCTTGTTCCAGACATCATCAATCACTTCCCATAACGGCATGTAACATCGTTCCTCGTTATTGAACTCCTTAGCGATACTCTCCTTAATGACATCCATAGTATCATAGATATATCCAACCTGGTGACTCTTGGCAGTAGAGAAACCGAGTAGACCGTGAATCAGAGGAGATGAGCATTTCAGAACTCTTTCAACAGCTTCCCATAAACTTGTATCATTCACCAAGTTGGATACTATTATGTCTTGTTCTTCTTTGTTCCAATCAGATGAAGCAAACATTGCTGCAAGGTCCTCCTTGGCCCTGAAAATACTCTCTACAGTTAAGTACGGCATGAAAAACTCAAACTCAGAGGAGAGTACAGCCATGTCTAGTCCTTGACTGTGATCTCGATCTCTCACAAGCTTCAAAGCCAAGGGGTTGTTGTTGACGAAATCTGTAATCATGTTGATTGCTTCAACTACGTATCCAAAGCCAAGAGAATCTATTTCACCAATCTTCATCAGCATAAGCTCAAAGCAGTGAGATACACTCACAGACCAGAATACTCCCTTCTTGTTGTTACTCACATAAGACTCGCCTAACTCACCAACCCAACCAGAAGCTGAACATGCAATGATTTGAATAACATTTTGCACTCCAACCTCATCAACAACCCCATCTACTAACGATATCAAAGCATTCATATCCTGTTTTACATCAGAAACATCAAATGACTTCAAATAAACTGGACCAGCTGGAGAATCTGCAACAAAAGTAACAAGATCATGACCTTTCTGATCAACCCAAGCATCCAGCAAGATGCTGCAACCTGTGATAACCCATGAATCTTTAATCTTCCTCACATGATCTTCCACTTCCTTCAGTGCTTCATGAGAACCAGGAATATTAACCCAAATCTCACCACAACCTACAGACATCATATCTCTGAAGCCTGGAGAATATACAACTGTGTTTGACACCAGTACTCCACTTTCTTTCTCAGGAGAAACACTTTTGCTTGATGAAATCTCTACTCTTCCACGCTTATGGTCTCTCTTGGCCTTAGCAACAGGAGGAGAACTAAGCTTTTTGCTGCATAACCATACTTTGAAAAGTCTCTCTAACAATAGATGTAACTTGGTGACAGTAAGTTACATCTCCACCTACACCACCCAAGTGAATTTTCAGACGCCTGTAGCCCTGAACTTCTTTCCCACAGTAATTACATTTAACCCTGTTTTTCTTCTTGTCTACATAAACTCCATGCTCTTTAATGTCCATGGAGGTATCAGCCATACTTCATAAAACACACACACACACACACACAGAATGAATCAGACTTGGAACTTCATACAGAGATATAAAGAAGGAAACTTTATCATAAATTTAATGAAGAAACGGCTATAATGTTCAAACCAACTAACAAACGAGTCAAAAATCATATAAAATTTAACATTTAAAAAAAAAATCATATAAATTATTTGAATAATTCTCGAAATTGTTCAATGGTGACCATAAGGCTCTAAACATACTTCAATGGTGACACAGAAGATTAAAAGGAAACTACTTTAGTTGTTTAGAGATGAGAACTCACCCAACTCTGTTGTTGTTTCTTCACCTGAGTGGCTGAGTCAAAGTGAGTCAAAGCGTCGAGTCAGACAAAAAGTAAGAAACTTTGTTTTCTCTAATCCCGGGAAAAAGAGAGAGGGAAAGTGAAGACACATGTTTTTAGTGTCCGTAAATTGTCTACATGAAGGTCCATTTTCCTTATTGTGGTCACTCTTTCATATTAACCGAAATTATAAAAAAAAAATGGAAACAATGAACTTTCACTATTGATAATTCTAGCCATGTCTCTGCTCGATTCATTCACTAGCATTGATACAAAAGATGAGTTTTGATGAATATACAAAACTAAATAACTAGAATCTGCACATTCACAAAATAATCTCTAACTAACAATAACGTTTTTTTTAAGTTCAAGTGGTTTGGTTTATGATATAATATATATGGCATTAAATAACATTTGTGAAAGATGAAAATGCAGTTAGAACTATGACACTTATGAACATGAATTAGTGTTGATGAATAATTTTATAGAAGTCTAATCATTGTAAGTTGTAGCATTATAAAAGTATACAATCTATATTTAATTTATAGAGTTGTAAGTGGTCTTAGTATTGATATCTTCAACATTAACAAAACTATGGTATACCTACAAGTTAGTGGTACGCACATCTTCTTCATATTCCACAAGTCGTATCATATGTTATCTGTATGACAACCGAGCTCCATGTATGACTTGACCTAACTACATTAAAAAAAATATTTATATTTCATATTTTAGAGCCTATAGAAAATGGAATATACGTGTTGATCATGCCCATATATGTGTTGATCATGCCCTTATATGTGCTGTGATTATCTGATAGATGAAGCCTAGGACCAGAAAAAACAAATTATAGTATACAAATATTAAGAAGAAAAAGGAGATATCTATTTTCTATTCTTTCTATTATATAACTTTTTTTCTCTTTGAACAAGAAAAAACTTTTTTCTCTAATATTGTTAGAGGGACTTAGGTTTGAGAAATTGTAGTCACTGAAAAGTAAAATTTCCAAATCCCTTTAAACGTGTGGCTCAGGAGATTGAAACTTACTTGTGTCCTAAGGCGTTATACCTAAACCAGAACAACTTGTTGTATGTAATTAAATTTCAAATGGGGAAATCACAGCTGTGGAATCTTTACTCCGTCTACTAATTAACATACAACTTTCTCTTTTTAGTCAAACATACAACTTTCTATATAAACTAAACTACCTAAGATACACATCTGCAACGTTATAAACTTTTGTTTACTCTGATGTAAAGCTAAAGATACCTAACAATAAGATTAAAGATGAGATCAAAGAAGTTAGCTATGTTGGTGATCGTTGTTTTATTGCATCTCCTCTACATGGAATCTCCAACATCTACATCTACATTTACTCTCTCTTATGACGATAAACCACCGTTCAAGCCAAACGCGCCTCTTCCTAAAACCACTGGTTCCATGAGTACTACTAGTAGTAGCAGTATCTCGGTTGTGGTCTCTGATCAACAAGAAAAAGAGGAGTCAGATCCGTTGATACCTCCTCCTGAAGCTACCAAGAGCCAGAGAATCAGCTGGTTCAGAAGAAAGCTACCTGAGCTGGAGATACTAAAGTCAACAACAAAGAGCAAGAGGTTCCATAGAAGAGTGTTGGAGTTGTACAACAAGAACTGCTCAGCTCAGTTCTTTATGGTTTGGCTATCTCCTGCAAAGTCCTTTGGACCAAGAGAGATGTTAGCTGTTGACACCCTCTTCACCACCAACCCTGGTGCTTGCTTGGTGATTCTATCCAACTCCCTAGACTCACCCAAAGGACACACCATCCTTAAACCTTTCCTTGATCAAGGCTTCAACCTCGTTGCTGTGACATTAGACATCCCGTTCCTAGTCAAGAACACTCCAGCAGAAGCTTGGCTTAAGAAGCTAAAGAGTGGTAAGATGGATCCTGGTTCCATCCCTTTGTTCATGAACCTCTCTGATCTGACAAGACTCGCGGTGCTCTACAAGTACGGAGGGATCTATCTAGACACAGACATCATCTTCCTCAACTCAATGACTAGACTAAGAAACGCAATAGGAGCACAGAGTTTGAATCATAAAACAAAGAGATGGACAAGACTAAACAACGCAGTGATGGTCTTTGACCTCTACCATCCGCTTATGAGGGAGTTTTTGCACGAGTACTCCACAACTTTTGACGGAAACAGATGGGGATACAACAGTCCTTACCTAGTCTCTAGAGTTCTCAATAGGTTAGGACACAAACCTGAGTTCAATCTAACAATCTTTCCACCAGATGCTTTCTACCCAGTGAACTGGCTTAAGATCCCAAGTCTTTTCAAGAAACCGGCAACCACAAGAGAAGCAAAGTGGGTAGAGAATACGGTACAAGTGATGAACAAAGGGAGCTACCTGATACATCTGTGGAATAAAGTCACAAGGAAAATGAAGATTGAAGAAGGAAGCGTCATGCATAGACTCATCTCCACACACTGCACAGTCTGTGGAAAGATTACAGAGTCTCACACTTAAGAGATCTAAGCAGACACAAAGATTATGTCATGACCCAATATACTAGTGTTACAGCATCATTCATATGTAATGAAGTATAGATTCTTTCAGTGTTTACACTTTGCTTTAAGTGTTCTTTATAATCTAAAGTTAATTTCCACAAAACTACTAAGTCAAGACATCCGACTACGCAATATAACTTACAGAATCGAAAGTTTGATACTTACATTCCCGAAATGAATCTACAAACTAAAGAACTAGAATCTGCACATTTACAAAATAAGCTGAATGGGTCAGTTTATACAAAAGTCTTGCAGCACAAAAACTATTCACTTAGTTTGTAGCTTTGCATCTTTGTAGATGAAGATTGTAATGAACAAACGCTAACTCTTCCAGATGTTGTTTCTCACAACGGCTCATTCCTCTCGTGAGAAGCAGCTTCTCTGCTATGCTTCTCTTCAGCTTGTACCTTGTAGCACCTTCACACGTCTGGCTCAGAATCTTGATGGCAAAACTCTGTAGTTCTGGATGCTGGCTCGCCTTTTGAGCCCACCATTCAGCTACAAACATACACTAACCATTAGCTTCACCTATTCTACAACACACTTATCTGCAAAAACAATACAAGAATGTTGAACGTGGTGAAGTTTACACACACACACACCTGGAGCAATGTCAATGATTTGATCAGCTTGACTGGCCTCATCAAAGCAACCTTGACCGAGTGTGTACATTTTAAGCTGTGTGGAAATTTTAGCTTGGACGTGACAATCTTTTACCAACTGTACCAAAGAGGAGACAAAACCAGTGGTGACTTCTGGATCAGACTTGAATTCAGTTGAGTAGAAAGCAGCCGGGTTCAGAAAGTAACCGGTAACATGAACAGGACTGTGAAGGTGCTTGTTCCAAACATCATCAATCACATCCCATACCGGCTTGTAACATTGTTCCTCGTTATTGAGTTCCTTTGCTATACTCTCCTTTATGCCATCCATAGTGTCATAGATATATCCAACATGCTGATTGTAGGCAGTAGAAAACAAGAGTAGACCTCGAATCATAGGAGCTGTGGACTTAACAAGTCTCTCAACAGATTCCCAAAAGGACGAATCCTTCACAAATTTTGATATTGATGTGCCCTCTTCTTTGTTCCAGTCAGATGAAGCAAACATGGCAGCCAAGTTGTTCTTCGCCTTGAGAAGGTTCTCTACAGTGAGATAAGGTGTCAGAAACTCAAACTCAGAGGAGACTGTCATGTCATTTCCATGACAAGGATCTTTGAAAAGCTCCCAAACCAAATGATTGTTGTAGAGGAACTCTGTAATGTTATTCACCTTGTCAAGTATGTCTCCAAAGGAATCTATTTCCCCTATCTTCAACAGCATAAGCTCAAAGCAGTGGGATATACTCACGGACCAGAATACTCCCTTCTTGTTACCCACATAAGACTCGCCTAACTCACCAACCCAACCGGAAGCTGAACATGCAACAATCTGAACCACGTTATGCACTCCAACCTCATCAACAAGCCCATCTACTAACGATATCAAAGCATTCATATCCTGTTTTATATCAGAAACATCAAAGGACTTCAGATAAACTGGACCAGCTGGACAGTCTGCAATGAAAGTAACCAGATCATGGCCTTTCTGGTCAACCCAAGCATCCAGCAAGATGCTGCAACCTGTGACCGCCCATGAATCTTTAATCTTCTTCACATGATCTTCCACTTCCTTCAATGCTTCTTGAAGCATCCATCCGTCTAAATCAAGAGAACCAGGAATATTAATCCCCATCTCACCACCACCACCTACAGACATCATTTCTTTGAAGCTTGGGGAATCCACAGCAGAAAAGTCAATACCATTTTCATAAAAGAACCGAGCTATGCACTTCTGGGCGTTGTTTGACTGAAAATGCATAACATGTTTATTAGCCTCCACACCTGTATCATTCCCCTTCTCAGGAGAAACACTTTTGCTGGATGAAATTTCTATTCTTCCACGCTTATGAACATTACCCATTTGGACTTTTCCAACTCTCTTAGCAGCAGAACTAAGCTTTTGCTTTAGTACCATACTTCGAAAAGTCTCTCTAACATTAGATGTAACTTGGTCACAGGAAGTTACATCTCCAGCGACACCACCCAAGTGAAATTTTAGACGACTGAAGTGACAAACTTCTTTCCCACAGTAATTACATTTAACCCGGTTTTTCTTCTTGTCTACATAAACTCCATGCTCATGAATGTCCATGAAGGTACCAGCCATTCCAAGACTCTACCTAACTCAAAAAAAAAAAAAAACACACACACACAGAGGGTGAATCAAACTTAAAAGTATTTTCTTGATTCTCACAATGCAGCTTCCCTAACTTCGCATAGCAAAAAGATAGAAAAAAACGAAACTTTAAACCGGCCACACTGGCAAATGAGTCAAAGGAAATCAGTCAGAAAAATCGAGCCAATAACTTCAAACCTGCCTCCATTTTGATAAAGAAGCTCAAACCAAACACCTTTTTTCACAGACAAGAACCACAAACACAAAAACAAACCCATTTTGTTATTTACTGCTTGGAACTCGATGAGAGATTACCTGAGTGGCTTAGTGGAAGCTTCGGGCCGTATAAAGAAGAGGAACGAAACCCTTGTTTTCTCGTTTCCCAAGAGAGAGAGAGAAGGAAAGTAGAGAACTTGTTTTGTCTGAGGGAAAGCTGAGGACTTGTTTTGTCTCCTTAAAAGGTTAATGAAAGTCCTGTCTTCTAATGGTTCTTCATTTAAGTAGAAAATTAATGAAGGTCTACAGTTCCAAATACTATTCATATTATTTAACTGAATGAATCCTTAAACAACTTGGATTAAGCAAGCAAATGGGAAGGGAACAACCTCAAGATACTTAACAAGTTTACACGTGTCCGACAAAGATCTATATTACAAACATCTACTTTGAGTGAATCACCAAAGTCCCCTCTACCATACTACACAGAAACCAGACCATATATATACATATACTTGAAGAAACCTGTTATCTCTCAGAATCTTTAGATTCAGTATTGTTCTCAAGCTTGCGACGTTTCTGAGGGGACTCACATTGATCGTCTTCAGTTTCAGAAGCTATGTTCTTTGCAGATGATGAAGGCTGAGGCAGAGATACTTCGGTTTTGGACATGTTTTGAGAATCTGTTTTAGTCTCTTCACTAGGTGATAAATGTGTCTGAGAAGAAGAAGAAGAAGGAATTAGCCTTCCAGCTTTGCGTTGTTCTTCCAACATCTTTTCCAAGTATTTAGCATGCTCTTCTATTCGTAGCTGAAGCACACGTTGCACCTGCACGTTGAATAGTTTACAGGATTGGTCATAGTAACAGATATGTCTCTTTCGATGAACTAATGTGTAATCGGTATTACCTCGAGTTGTTCATGCAATTGCTTTTGAACTTCCATCTGCATACGCAGAGCTTCAGTTAATTGTATTGCCCTGTCCATGAAAGAAGAGAGTCACTTTAAAGATCACATGTTTTGGAATTCAGAAACAAAGCAAACCACAATGTCTCACCCTCTCTTCTTCTCATCAGCGTCACTGTTACTTAAAGCGAGTTTCTTCTCTTCAGAGTTAACATTCTTTTTCTCTGCGGAATAAAGGAGTGTAAAGGTCAATAAACATGAAGGAACAGAGAATCTGTCTAATCACAATAACAAGTTTAAAGCGTATACCTTCTTTTCTCTCTGGCATGTACTTTGCTAGTCTATACTTCTGCAAATTCAATGTTTTTCAGAGATATTCAGCTACTATGGTATTACATACTTAAGAAATTGGTCAGACGCAAACTAATTTAGTACCTGCAAGTGGCTTTTTACATGGTAGATCGTCAGACCCTCAACATTCATAAGCTTCAGAACAGCCTTTGGTGTGGCCTCTACATGATTTTAAGCAACACCGGGTTAAGTATCATCAGCAGAAGGTTAAAAAGAAAACACACATTAAGGCTAAAAGGCTAAAACTTACTTTCAGGTCCTTCAAGTTTGTTCACTGACTTCAAAAAACTCTCGTGGAGCTCAGGGGTCCATCTCATTCTCGGCTTGTGATTGGCTGCTGATGAAGCTGATTTTGGAGAAGGGTGAGATGAAACTACCTCCATGGACATTGCTCCACCATCGCATCTTTGGCTTGGACTCAATACAGTCACTGGATTTGGTGAAGCCAATGGCTTTTCATAGATCTCCTGTTTCAACCAAAAGCTAAGTGTTAAGAGGAATAAAATCACTCTTCACACTCTCTACGTATCAACAAGTCATTTAGGAGAAATGTTGTCAAAAAGACACAAAGTAACTTACATCAAGCCTTGGAGTTTCAGCACGGTCTGTGATAGCCAGCTCAAGCTCATCAGACAAAAACTGCAACTCCAACTGATCTGATAAGCAATAGCTATCATTCGAACAGTCAAGATCATGAAACCCTCCATTAGAACAAGCATCTCCAGAAAGATTAAGGAAATCTTTAGCAAGCATCCCAGAGGAGTTGTTGTCTCCATCAAAAGGATTACTCAAATCCTCACTGAAAACAGATGGAGACCTTGCAGAGTCCACACCACAAGCTGAGTGGGTGTAAGCAGAAGGATCTGGGAGGAAAGGAAGACTGTTTCCCAAATGTTTCTTACTCTCAGAGGTTGAAGATGATGACGAGTAGAGGTTAGTGCAGAAGGTGGAAGACCGTGAAAACGTCCCCTGAGGAGTATTTTTGGGCCAATCTGGAGATTGTGACCGTATGAAAGGAGATTTTCTGGTTTCTGGCTGGACATTCAGAAAGTTAAGGGCTTGCCTGATTCCTTTATTGCATTCTTCTTGTGTTGTTGACACAAGCCTATGCCTGTTCATGATTTTCTTGATCTTACAACAATCAAGATGGTCTCTTGCACACTAAGTTACAAAAGGTAGAAAGATGAGATTAGCATAAGAAGGTTGGGATTTCAATAAATATGTTAGTGGAGTTTGTATAGTTGACTTCAATAACAAGGCATACAGAATCATCTACTGTTTCCATCTTTGACTAAATCGGTAAAATTCAAAACTAAATCCAAGCAAACATAGTAAGGGTTACATGTTCTCATGAACTATATAACTGTGTGATTAGAGTAACAAAAAGCATATGAGTTTTGTGTTTAAAACAATACATCCTAAAAAGAGACTAACCAGATTTGCAGATG